CACTAAAAAGATGGTATATACATTTATGGTATTATTCTATGAATAAAGGCAAAACATTGAAAAGGGGAGCGTATAATGAAATCTTTTAGTTCCAAATAAGAATGGCCATAAATAAACACACCCAAGAAACTCCAGAAGATTAAAAGGAAAAGTTGCAAGAGCACTAACTATACATACATACGTGCAAAACCATTCACGAATGTAAAGCATGGTTATTAAAAAAAAAATTCAAGGGATCGAACCAGATAAGCATGCATTGAAACGCCAACAGCATCACTTGAGACTTAGGACAATGCAAAACATACAGTCACATTAAAGTAGAACTAATAACTTAATTTAATAAAATATACACTTTTACATTATTAAAAGAAACTAGTTTACAAGCCAGACTAAAAGGTGAGTTTAAAGTTTAAACTATCGAAGCGAACCTAGATACGTTTGAAATTCATATCACTCCACCAAGAGAGACTTTCACTAGAGAAGAAAACTGTCAAATGGCATGCTCTAAATGTTATCTGCAGGATCAGCAAATTACGCAGACTCTACCAACAGACATCCAGAATTCTCCTTGAAACTGAGGGTTTACTTAGTCCTATTCTAGTACTAGATATTTGACATGTGAAAATAAAGTCTTACTTCTGGGCTCAAAGCATGAGCAATTCTTCTAAGTTGTTCAAATTTGAGGGTTCAAAATTACTTATGATTGTGTGAACCCACTGTTCAAATCAGTCCAGAACGAAGCCATCAATATTGGAATTTCAATAACATGCTATTAACACATATGGCCTGACTGTATGATTTGCATATATTAGCCCTTCACCACATGCTTGCTTTGTCAGTTGACAATGAAAAGGAAGTTGTTTGCATAGCATCAATGGATTTGAAGATTCAGATTCATGATTACCTTGCATAACCCACTATGACTCAAAAATCATAAATCCCCATAAGGTTTCTATTATATTGGACCAATGCATTGTTGTGTGTTTTTATAACTTCAGCAGCAATGACGTGAAACTAAAAATGTATAAACAAATTATTGAAGTATGAAGCCTCACCAGTTGTTCAATAATGAAATTCTATGAGGCACCAAAAACTCAGTATCTATTTTGTTCTATAGTATTACTTTACTTTCACATGGGGTATGATTGGACAAAGACCATGCACATGGCACATCAAACTGTAAAGTATACTAACCTGCAAGAAGAGTATAAAGCTTTGGCAGATTCAATAGGTGCATGATTACCACAAATGGAGATGATAATAGTGATACAAAAAAGGCACCTGCAAAAATAGTCACATTAGTCTAGTTGCACATATCAGCCCCTGAACTATGAAGAATGAACAAGGTAGGCATTAAGAAATTCAGTCCCTTGGAACTTGAATGCTAAAAAACTTCAAGTGAAGGGAAGAGAAACAGAATATCCAATATTAAAAAAAAAAATGAAGTCAACAGCTCTATCCATAACTCCTCATCAATGAATGTTAAACTAGTAGATTATAAATGGCAAAACAGTATGTTGAATGACAAAATGTCTCAATATCTTAACTTTTCTCAAAACAAAAAAAATGTCTCGATATCTTATGAAAAGCATAAGAACAACGATAAGATCTGCTATCAGTGATGAGAAGGTCACAAGTAAGCATTTGGAAATACAAACCAAAACTTAAAGATTGGGATGGCAGATCCATGACATAATGCCATAAGATATTGACAAACTCTAGGACTCCAAAGTTAAGTCGATATGAATGCTGCCCAAACTACTTGTTCACCTACCTTTCACTGTTTATTGCTTATAATTTTTTAGCATTTATTTTGCTAGCCATTGCGACAAGGATATAAAGAAATACTATTGCAGAAACAACCAAGAAGATCAATGATTGCAGCCATGAACTTCCTATATGTATAACAAAGATTAATGAATGTGCTCCACATGAATCCATACTACTTTGGATGGATATTTTAGAGCCCAGAAGTGGTCCCCTTGACTCTAGATGTACGAAAAAGGACATTTGGACAGGATTTCATGGACCATAAGCTTTACAAATGCAATACTTGGGCAAAAAGTGAAAATATAGTTAGCCATCATATAAGAAAAAAGAAGTTATGACTGGAAATACACTCGTCATAAAAGGAGGAAAATCAGATGCATAAAATTGGCACCTACTGTTGAAACATTTGGCAGCCTAAGCGTATTAGATCCATATATTATTCTCTTCCACATAGGCACATCCTATGTCATATAACCATATAAATGGGGTTATTTTATTCAGGTGGCTTGGGCTCGGTGTTTAAGGCGTTTGGTGGATTCATAGTTCTACTCTTCAGGTTTTCAGAACTATAAAAAGATAATTGAGAATGTTCTGGGAAAAATGCAAAAGGAGTTCAAAACATAGAATGAAGGATCATGCATTAATTACCTGTCAAAAGTAAAATATCACTAAGCCAATTCCCTCATTGACCTATGAACATCAGTCTTGCAAACCTAGCTAATTGCCTAGAATTACATCCTAGAGCCAAATGAGTCATAAGTTTGATCAAAGGAACTAAATGCTTAAAGGAATTAGGCAAAAATGGGGAGCAGGCCTCCAGCTTAGACAAATATATGAAGAACCAGTTCTTTAATACAAGCTAGAAAGTCAAACAAGCACTCAAAGAAAGTACAACCAGATGATTTTAGGAGCATCAATAAATAAAATGAATGAGTTGAGGAAACAATAAGTCAAATTTCAACATCTCATAAGAAAAAACGCAAATTCTTAATCCAACAATTGCTATGCTTCATAAAAAACAAAGAGTGGAGAAGTATCCAAAGTTTATGTGTGGGGAAAGAATGACTAACCCAAGAAAGTTCGAGGTACAACTCCAGGAAATTCACGGTGATCATACTGTAAGAATTCAAGATCTTAGCCATGGCATTTCAGGGAACTAAAATTTATTCTTGGAAGCTTATTAAACTTAGTTATTAAGCACATACCAAAAAAATATGGAATTGAGGAACTTGCCTTTTCAATGTTATGATGATGATATAGAATATCGTGCATCGCCTTTATCAGCAGCATATGCAATATCAGGAAAAACAAAGACTAGTTAGTTGAAGAACTTGGTGTAAGCCCACAGTAGAGCAACAAAATAGATAGATAAATGAAGGCTTGTATGAAATGAAGGCTACAAAAAATAAAGCATAAGTATGGCAATTAGGTAAGAACTAGCAATTCAAATTTACTAATAAAGAAAATGGATAATTTGGATGCAATATAATGCAAAACTTCGAACATTACATGCACTATCACTGGAAATATCTAATGGAGAGAAGAAATATTCAAAAGATGGAAAAACAAAGGCCAAAGGAAGCAAGCACGCTTGTTTAAAACATGTCATACGATAGAACTCAAGGGTAGGCCCAAAAGAACATGGTTGGAAGTAGTGAGAAAAAATATGGGGATTTATGACCTCACTAGGGTATGACCCTTCATAGAGCATAATGGCAAACCAGGATTCATGTAGACGACCCTAATCAGTTGGAAAAAGGCTCTGACGATGATGATAAAGAAAATAGGACTCATGGTAAATACTCTATAAGCACGAAGAAAGAATGCTCACTCAACAATCTTGTGTGGCAAAAACGTCATCTAATTCCAGGATAGAGGAAAGGTCAGCTTTTTAAGTGCTAAAAAAAAGAAGAGAATTTATTCAAATAACTAAACCATTCTCTAGCAAATCTACCTTACGTGACACTCTAACCCTGAGAGAATCGCATGTGTTAAGATACAATGGCATTGTCTTTTCTATCTGGCTTTTGTACTTTGTATTCGTTAGTGTAGCTATAGTATCTCAGGTATGAGACCTTATTGAAAAGTAGGCATTTTTGCCAAAGAGGATTTTTGGTGTCTTAAAGCATCAAATCTTATCAGAGAATAAAAGACTACGAGCTTTGAGTGAGAACGAAATATTCAATTATTCTAGGCTTAACCTCCACCTACATAAACACTAAAGCTTAATTTCAAGTGTAGCTCCATTAGACACCCAAAACCTTATCGAATTGTAGGCTTCTTGAGTGACAACTTTAGTGCAATTAGAAGGCTTTATAGGTTGGGAAATCATGATGGAAACTGCTACAGCCAGGGAGAGCGATCCTCAAGGCATTGCGACCTGGTGCTTCAAGGGTCCAGAGCGCTGGCATCGGCTTTTACGGTTCTGTCTCCCCATCAATGAAACGAGGACTGGCCAACCCCATACCGGGCGAGACCGACCGGATATGGATTCCATCCATAATGAGTGGAGTGATCGAACCGCCTTATGAAGCGAGACCGGATTCATCGTCTCTAGAGTCCGAGGGCTGGGAACCGGAGAAGTGAGAACAAGGACAACGATGGATGGTGGATGGCCAATGCTATTTGTGTACGGATTACCACAACCAATATGGATTGACAAGAATCGAATGTAGAAAGTGGCTCGCTCCATTGGGTGATGATAAGAAGATCCAGTCCTTCCTTGAGGCGTGTTAGATTTTATGAATTTGATTATTTTGGAAGTCTTCTTTAATTGATCTAAAAGTTTGCCATTTTCATCTTGGAAGGTCAATTTTGTCGAGAGAGATTTACTTGAGATCGTTAGATGGGACAACAGGATATTGCTTCCAGTCAATGGATAGCTAACCCAGTAGAGGAATCCTCCTATTGGTCGAATGGCAAAAAACTCCTTTCACCATTTCCTATGACAATATAATGGCAAGCCAATCTTCCAGTAAATGAGTGGCAAAAGATGCCTTCATGGAATTGATCCTTTCCCACTTACCCAAGTTTCGTTTTTGTCGCATGCTTTATTACATGTCTAATTTCCATAAACTTCACACTTGTTTCCCATCTGTCTATACTTCCCAGTACAAATTGATCAAAGTCAATCAAAAAAAAAAAAAAAGATCATGTACCCCGAGTTGATAATATGCATTTTAAGAATCCACCACTTAATGAGAGTAACTCTACATGTCAAAAGTCACTTGCATAATAAAACTCTATATTCAAACTCAATACATCAGTTGTACATTCATGAACAACCATAAATAACTGTGCTCGAGGACATTGTTGGCTACACAATTCCATGTATTATATAGAGAGCATACATTCTTCACTAAACATAGACTAGATGCAAATTGATCACTAGAAGGAACTGGGCAAAACACAAACATTATGCAAGATAATAAACCGAGTATAAAACATTATTCAATATCAATCCCTTTGCACAGTACCATAATAACACATAAAACATACACTAAAATCTCGAACCTGCGCAGTTCAAATAATGCAGGACGAAAACACAAAATGATTAAAATGAGAAGACAATTCTAGTCTATCCCAAGTTATTCAACATTAGCTCACCAGACCATCCTCAACAAGATATAACAATATATACCAGGTCAATGAAGGTATAACGATGGACCAATCCTAGGAGAATTTGCTGATCCAATTCAGTACCTGAATGTTGAAGCTCTCCTCTACTTTGGTGTAGGGAGCCATGAAAAGGTGAAACGCGGAGACCATTCCCAGCAATACATCCCATTCTGAGATAGAAACCAAATTAGAAAGAGAAAGAGTTATACAGAGAAATCATTTTCGAGCAACAGCCAAAAATTTCCACCTCGGTTTACCCTAAGTTTGAGAGAAAGTGTGTGTGTGTGTGCGTGAAGGGTATACAGAGGAGAGAGAAGGAGCAGCTTACTGGTGAAAGGGCTGAAGAAATTGGTCCATGTGAAGGAGGAGGAGGAGGGGGGCTCTGCCTTCTCATCTCTCATGGCTGACAACGAAGCCACTGCAATGGGGCGAGTACGTGCGAGAGAGGGTAAATGGGCAAAAGAGTCGAAGGAGCGCTCCTAGAAAGAAAAGCAGCACGCACAGAGCCTCGCCGGTAGCGCCTGCTTGCACTATACACAGGCGTTTTATAGCTGGGGGATTCTCAATAAATGGCCCTCGGTTAAAAAAACGGATCGATGACATGGACGGGTCAGTTCAAAAATCGTGTTGGATAGGCGGATCGGGAAATCGAATTGAAGAATCGACCGAGTTTATTCTAACCAATTTTCGAAAAATTAATTAAAAAAAATTAAAAATAATGTACCTTTTAAGTTTTCAAAAAACAAACAAATAAAATCATGCATGATGTATTTCTATTATTTTACAAAAATTGAGAACAATGCTTTTGTGCGTTATGGAGTGATTTCTTTTCCAACCAAAATGACAAACCACATTCTCTCCATCTCAAGTCTCAACTATAAATGTAAGAAACCAACTCTCACTCTCTCGACAAACATAGAGATGACACACTTTACGAAATTCTATGTTAAGCAAGATAAGCAATGATGTCTTTTCATCTAAAATCACACATACCTAATTTCACTTGATTGAAATCTCAGTTTTAAGTATCCATCTAATGGTTTTTGCACAAGTAAACTAATCACTGAAACCAAAGGGAGAAGTTTCTATACTTCCCCTATAACATAGAAGATCTATACTTCCCCTATAGCATAGAAGATCTATGCTTTCTCTACCCGTTCAATTTTAATCAAGAGAGCCACTCACTGTTTGATCTTAGATCCGACGTCTCAAAGTATTTTATTTTTAGTTTTTTTATACAAATTGTATGAATATAAAATTTGGTATGTGTCATCTTCTCATTGGGGCGCACCTATAAACATATTAAAAATAAATTTTCCATAAAATATTTTGATCAAAATACCCCTTGGAACTTTCAGGGGTATTTTGGTCATTTATTTTATTATAAATATTGTTTTTATATTTTTCGCTAGTGCGAGTTTAATAGAGGACTGGACGTACAAAATTTGGTGTCGAAATAGTTTATATACAAAAAATTAAAAATAAAATAGTGTAGAGATGTGACATTGTGATTGGGCCAATCTTAACCCTCCATTCAGAATGGACAGTTGGATGAGGGAAGTATATAAGTTTTATATTGTAAAGGAAGCATAGAAAGCTTGCCCCAAACTAAAATGCCAATCAAACCATCACCCACACTAATATTGTGGTTGTCCAATTTAATGGTCCTCCTCACCTAATATGAGATCCAATTTATCAAACATTATTAATTCTCTCCACACATTCAAAATCATCACAACCTAACCAATTATAATATTATACTTCGGAATTGAAATTATTAGTATATAGTTTGCAATTTTATTTTACTATACAAGTATGAAAAGATTTAAACTTTATCTTATAATATCATCTAATTTAAAAAATCTTAATTACAACTATAAAAAAAATTACATTATGGAATTTATAATATAAAAAGTTAATAAATAAAATACATGCTTTGGTTATTAATGTATATACATCGAACATGTAACAAAAACTATTTAAAACACTACCAAAATATAAATTAAAACCCTTCGTAAATTTTGATGATGTGACATTTTAAAAATATATCTTTAAAAAAAAATTCCCCTAAAAAATGAAAAATAATGACATGAAATTAGGGAAAATAAAAAAATGAAAAAAATGAATCATGTACACTGTTAGAAAAACCAAGTGATCTAACTGCTAATCACCCAGTTAGATTGAAACCACCCAGTTAGATTGAAACCGGCCACTGGCCGTTTCTGGTTTTGGGCAGTTTTGGTAATCGACCGGTATTAAAAAAATCAAAAAAGCAAAAAAATGTATATAAATTCTCAAAAATAAGAAACTTGGTTTGCAATGTGTTTTTAATATTATTTACATTATGGTAAAGATTAAATATTGTTTTGGTCATTAATACTTGCTTTTATATTTTCTCATATTTTTCATAAAATTTTAAAAATACCTCAAAGCACAAATCAATTCGTTAAGATCTATTTTTTCAATTAATTTTCAATTTCATTTGAATATGTTTTGTCTTAATTATTTTTTATATGCCTTTCCTATTTTAGTAGCTTTTCTTTTGTATCTTTTTTATTTTTTTCAACACTTTTTTGAGTGCTTGTGACCTTTCTTTTGGGTGAGTAAATGGAGAGGGAGCCCCTACCCTTCAAAGGAATTGTGCCTAGGACATTGCATTTCAAAAAGTACTAACCAATTAAGTCTGAGCTCTTTTCCTAAAAAATGGTAAGTTAATGGGGATTTTGGACCCTACTATTTAGTGATAATGAAATCAAATACTTCATTATAGGGCTCGGTAGTACTATCTCCAGGGACTTGCCCGATTAGAACGGTTGAATCGGTTAGGCTGGTTAAACCGGCCTTGGGCCCATATCCGGTAAATCATTGTGGTTTGATTTTGTGAACACTAAACACGTACTATATGAATCAATAACCTAAATGCATTGAAAGACCTAGTATCTTCACAAAATCATTAATTTTCTTTTGTTAAATATAGAGGTTCTCAACATCCCAAAACACCAGTCCGTATTAGGCCCAAAATCCATGCTATTTTCGATTTTTATACATTGTATTGGATCTATCTTCCATATTACAGATTCAATAGGATCATTTTGATTCAAGTTTCAATAAATTTGATACAAATTTGAGGGAGAACAGTTTGAAATGTGTAACCCTAATTTGTGCTACCTTCATGTAAAAAAAATTTAGAAAAGAATTACAAAATAAATACGAAATCTACTTGATTTATATCAAAGCTAAAACTCTTTAGATCAAAACCCCATGTAGATTTGATCCAAATTAACTGAAAAAAAAGCTTTCTATGTTCCCCTTACAACATATAAGCTATATCCTCCCCCTACCATCCAGCCGTCTATTTTTTATCAAGAGAGCCACTCACCATTTGATCTTTAGATCCAACGTCTCAAAGTATTTTATTTTTAGTTTTTTTAATAAATTTTTTTTTAATATGAAATTTGGTACATGCCATCTTCTCAAATGGGTGCACCTATTAAAAATATTAACAATAATTTTTCGATAAAATATAATTACCAAAATACCCCTTGAATCTTTCAGGGATATTTTGATCATTTTATTTTATAGAAAATATTTTTTTTATATTTTTCGTTAGTGCGAGTTTAATAGAGGAATGGACGTTCAAATTTTGGTGTCAAAATAGTTTATAAAAAAAAATAAAAATAAAATAGTGTAGAGACATGACATTGTGACTAGGACAATCTTAGCCCTCTATTAAAAAATGGACGGTTGAATAAGGGGAGGATAGAACTTCTATGTGGTAGGGGGAACATAGAAAGCTTCCCCTTAACTGAAATACCCATTGATTTTGTCCATTTTTCGTTGATTGTTAAAACTTCAGGATCTTTTCAATTTTAAAAATTTGGAAACAAAATCAATGGGGAATCCTAGTTTAATCAAACAAATTAGCAGTAGAATATTGTGTAGGCTTTAATTATATACAAAGATAACCAAATTTCAGGACATTTGGTGATAAATCGAAGCTGAAATAGATGTAAAGGCGGATTTCTACAAAGAGCTTCACCCGATTTTGATCGCCAAATCTCATGTTGTTTTTTCAAAATCGATAGAATAATAGTTATAAGTAATTCTCAATCACTTTAGAGCAATATTTATCTGAAAAAAAAAAAAAGCCCCTTGAAGATAGATCAAAAAATCTAAAAGCTCCAAATGCGGGTCGAAAGTCTTAAAAACTTAGGACTCTGTGCCCCAAATAGTGGAATGGAGATTTAGGGGGACACGGTCGGATCTCGATATATGAGGGGATCCAGAATAGCTGATATAAAATCCGATCCAAATTGCCATTTTTTTAAACCTTGGAATCACCTATCTGGATCAGAATCTGCAAGGACCAAATAAGTTTTGAAATGACATCGGTCCTCTTTCAAATATTTTTATTTTTTGGAACGTATGCAAATGTCTTCAACATCTCCAAAAATCCCCATCCATAAACCTCTATTTTAATTTTTTAATATATTTTTTAGATCACCAATTTGGATTGATTTGGACAGATTTGGATCGTTGATCCAGCACTCCGACAAGGATCTATGGTGTGAATGATCCGTTCAATTGATCCGGGTTTTGAAACACTACTACTACTCGATTTGACCCCTCTGAATCTTTCGGGGGACGGAAACTATTTCATGTTTTAATGGTTCGTTTTGATGTATTTCTTGCCGATTATCACTCATAAATTATGAGAAAATTATCAAAGTATCAAGAGATAAATTATTTGCAACTTAATAAAATATGTCTCCATGGTATTTTGAAATTAATCAAAAGATAACATATGCTAAATAGTCCACCCATACATATGCTAAATAAAGTACTATTAGTTTGCTTCGTCATGCAGTAAACCCATACTTGTGTGGTTTTTTCAAGATTACATTAAAAATGAACAAATTATCTTACAAATCTATTAAAGAGTTTAAGAGATCTCTACCATTATAGATTTTACTTCTTGATTTTCATTTCATAAAAGCATATAATAAAAGTGTGAAAAAACCTTGAAGAATAGGTTCATGATAACCATTAAAGACCTAACTTAGTATTTATTTTACTTTTGAAAATATGAGACTGTACGTTATGAAACCATTTATATTTGTTACAAGGATATCACAATTACTTCTGGCTATTGGACGTCAAATTAATTGCTTTAGATGTATCACCAAGTTTGAGATTTTGTTTTTGAACTTTGAGTCTACTCAATAACACTCTTACAATCATCTGATTTGAAATTTGACAAATAAGAGTAATTGTGACCTTCTTGTATGAAAAGTAAATAGTCTCTTTGTATACTTTTCCTATATATAATGGATACTTTATAAGTCTATATATCACATAAAGGGTGAGGCCAAACAATTAAATTAAGGTGTACCTTAAAATAGTGTTAGAATATGTTTTTCATTCTGGAAATCTTTGTAACAGCTTGAAACTTTATTTTCATATCTAATTATAAATTTAAAATAAAATATAGTGTGGATCGAGCAGATCTATGAACACTTAAAAAT